GTTCGCGCTGCCAGCCCTACTGTCACACGTCTACTAGCCACTGTTGTCACTAACCCTTTGTTTGAGTCCACTGCTGCGTTTGCCCTAGTTGCTGCGCTTGTTGACTTTGCTGCTACGTGTTGTCTCGACTACGCCGCTAGTCTTGTTGCTGAGTCTGAGTCTGTCTATCCTCCGTCCGTTGGGGGTGAGTGTGCTCTTGGCACGGACGTCCTTGAGGACAGGCAGGAGGAATTTGAGTGTCTTGCAGCTGCTGTACCTCATCTCGTGGCCATGCTGCTTGCACCTGAGGGAGACCCGGATGCTTTAGACATCCCGACCCCGCGCTCTTACGCAGAGGCGATTACGGGTCCCTACTCCTCTCAGTGGCAGATAGCCATGGACGCAGAGATGGCATCCTGGAAGTCCACAGGCACTTACGTCGACGCAGTTCCCCCTCCTGGGGCGAACATAGTCGATGGCATGTGGATTTTCAGGTTGAAGCGGCCGCCGGGTTCTCCGCCTGTCTTCAAGGCTCGTTACGTTGCACGAGGCTTTAGTCAGCGACAGGGAGTTGACTTCTTCCAGACCTTCTCCCCTACCCCGAAGATGACCACTCTTCGGGTACTGCTGCACGTTGCCGCTCAGCGTGACTACGAGCTTCACTCTCTTGACTTCAGCACAGCTTTCTTACACGGCACCCTGCACGAGGAGATCTGGCTGAGCCGCCCACCTGGCTTCACTGGGTCGTTTCCTGCAGGTACCCAGTGGAGCCTCCGGCGGCCAGTCTACGGTCTCCGCCAGGCGCCTCATGAGTGGCACGACACACTGAAGACGACACTTGCGGCTCTTGGGTTTGCTCCTTCGACTGTTGACCCATCGCTGTTTCTGCGCACCGACACTTCGCTGCCGCCGTTCTATATCCTCGTGTACGTCGACGATCTGGTTTTTGCCACTGCTGACGCTGAGGCACTGGCCCTAGTGAAGTCGGAGCTGCAAAAGAGACACACGTGCACAGACCTGGGTGAGCTGCGCAGCTATCTTGGCTAGCAGATCATCCGGGACAGAGCACGGCGCACCATCACCTTGACTCTGTCACACATGGTGCACCAGGTCCTTCAGCGCTTCCGCTTCGAGTACTCCTCGCCACAGTCCACTCCTCTGCCTACCGGTCACTCGCTCTCAGCTCCACCTTCGGACGAATCCGTAGAGCCGAGTGGCCCGTATCCAGAGCTTTTGGGCTGCCTCATGTACCTGACGACCTGCACTCGACCTGACCTTGCCTACCCTCTTAGCATCCTGGCACGCTACGTTGCGCCCGGGAGACACCGACCAGAGCACTGAGAGGCCGCTAAGAGGGTGTTGCGCTACTAGTGCAGTACGTCGGGCATGGGGCTTGTGCTTGGAGGACATGGTTCAGCTGTCCTCACTGGACACGCAGACGCTTCTTGGGTTGACGACTTGGCTACGCAGCGGTCGTCACAGGGTTACACCTTCAGCCTTGACTCCGGCTCTGTTTCTTGGCGGTCTACCCGCTCGTCTTCTGTTCTCAGCATATCCACACCCTGCCTAAGCAGCTCTAGCCAGTGGGGGAGCTCATTCGCGTCGGGAAACTCTGCGCGCCAGGCGTCGCCAAGACGGGAGAAGCAGCGGTACTGTGTGTGACCAACCTTCCCGCATGTCTGACCAGCGCGGTCACGTGTGCGAATGACGTACTGGCAGCGAACACTACCTCCAGACGCCCCACGCTGAGCAAAACCACTCTCGAAGCTCCTGGAGCGTACGGGTCTCACGCGGACGCTGCTGCTGCTGCCTCTGACCACCGCCAGAACCTCCCCTCTGATCGGTGCCACCTCGACCGCCACCACTGCCGCCGCCACCACTCCCACTGCCGCCACCACTGCCGCCTCCACCACTGCCGCCGCCACCACTCCCATTGCCGCCACCACCGCCGCCACCAACGCCTCCACTCCCACCACCACTCCCTCCTCCACCACCGCCACCTCCACCGCCTCCAATTCCTCCACCACCGCCTCCACCGCTTGCCACCCCCACCACCCTTGCCTCCCTTGCCCTTGCCGCTGCGGCGCCTCCCACTAGGAGCAGACGCAGCCCCGACCTCCTCAGCATGAAGGAAGTCAACAGCAGCAGCAGAAGCGTAGGAGGAACACCCCTCAAAGAAGGGAGTGCGAGGAGTGCCACGAGCAGCACCTACAGCGACTATGCTAGCCTCAGCTGCAAGGAGGTGCTTCTCGAGCAGGTCGACAGTGAGGTCTGTGGGGTCCATGGCGAGAAAGAGGTCCTTGACTGAGCTAAGAGAGTCAGGGAGGCGGGTGACGATGAAGTAGAGAGCGATGTACATGGGGGGAGGGTTCTTGTCTAGAAACTTGGTGGGAAGCGCGGCGCGGTAGCGAGTGTCACTAGTGCGAAGGTGGGTAACTAGATCGTCGACTATGGCAAAGGCGGACAGCTCGGGAAAAAGGTAGGGCAGTATAAGGCGGCCGAGAGCAGCATTGGCAGGGGAGGAGTAGAGAGCAACTACAGCATCGTACAGGGCTTTAGCAGTCTTGTGCTGGCCAATGTGAGCGCGTTCGGCTGACGGTAGGTGGTTGCGAATGGCTAGGCGAGTAGCAGGGTCACGAGTAAGCCACTGTGAGCGAGTCGCACTGTCAGCTGTGTCGGGAGGGGCGAGAGAGGCTCCAGACGTGTGGTCAAACAACGAAACGCCGTCTCTAGAATCGCTCAGTAGGAATAGCTGTAAGTCATCGAGCCACGTATCGAACTGGATCGGACGGCCCTCAAGATCGAATGTGAGGACGCTGAGAGTAGCAGGGTGGCGCGCGAGCAGCAGGGCAGCACGCAAGCAAGGACGGCGCGACGGGCAGGGTGGCGCGCAAGCGCTAGGGAAGCGCAAAGGGCAGGGCGGGGCGGCGCACGGCTAGGGCAGGGCGGCGCAACTGGCAGGGCAGGGAGGCGGCCAGCAGGGCAGCGCGCGGGCAGGGCAGGGCAGGGTGGCTGCCAGCAGGGCGGCGGCCAGTAGGGCGGCGCGCGGGCAGGGCAGGGCAGGGCGGCGGCCAGCAGGGCGGCGCGCAGGCAGGGCAGGGCGCGGCAGCCAGCAGGGCGGCGCGCGGGCAGGGCAGGGTAGCGCGCGGCCAGCAGAGTGGCGCGCGGGCAGGGTAGGGCGTGCGCGGGCGGCGCGACGCAGGGCAGGGCGTGCGCGGGTGGCGCGACGCTGGGCAGGGCGGGGCGTGCGCGGGCAGCGCGACACAGGGCAGGGCGTGCGCGGGGCGGCGCGACGCAGGGCAGGGCCAGGCGCGCGTGGGCAGCGTGACGCAGGGCAGGGCGTGCGCAGGGCGGCGCGACGCGGGGCAGGGCCAGGCGCGCGCGGGCAGCGTGACGCAGGGCAGGGCGTGCAAGGGGTGGTGCGACGCGGGGCAGGGCCAGGCGCGCGCGGGCGGCGCGACGCGAGGCAGGGCAGGGCATGCGCGGGCGGCGCAAAACAGGGCAGGGCGCGCGCGGGGCGGCGCAACGCAGGGTAGGGCAGATAGCGCGCTGGGCAGCGCAACGCAAGGCAGGGCAGGGCAGCGCGGCAGCCAGCAGGACGGCGCGCGGGCAGGGGAGCCCGACTGGTGGGGCAGCGCGACAGACAGGGTAGGGCGCTACGGGCAGGGTAACGCGCTACGGGCAAGGAACTGTACGGTGGGCCCTAAAAGAAAACGGTCCTGAAACAGGACCTGCTCTGAAACCATGTTAGAAACTGAACGAGGAATGAATGCATTAAGAAGAAAGGTGGTACAAGTACTAACCCTAATTGGGTTGTACCCCTTATGGGCTACCCCACTACAGCCTACACAACCTAAACATTATAATAGTTTGACAGTAATCTTGCTTACGAAGCATTCATGGCGTAGCTACATGTAGCTGAACGGGAAAGTGACTTGAAGCTGAAAAGTTTTCAGACTGACAGTGCTCTCGAATACCTCTCACAGCATTTCAGGACCTATCTTGCGGAAAGGGGGATCAAGAAGTTGCAGTCGCTGCCTTGCCAACATCAACAGCAAGGCATGGCAGAACAAATGAACAGGACCGTGCAGAAAACCATGCGCAAACTGCTCATGGAAGCACGCGTCTCAGCAGGGCAGTGGCCGTTTGCAATGGACCACGCTGTCCTGCTCCGCAATCTTCTGTCTTCAACATCCCTGCCAAACAACTCCTCACCACACAAGGAGTGGACAGGGAAGCTGGGAAGCACAAAGATGTTACGCGTTTTCGGCTGCATGATACAGTATCGGCCTCCGAATACACATGCAGGAAGGTTTTCACAGAGGGCACGTTTGGGAATACATTTCCGCATCGAAAAGCAGTTCACAGCATGGAAAATCAGGGATCGGGTTACAATACCGGCACATGACGTTCTTTTCTACGAACCACTCACATACCCCACTTGGCAGAGGCAGCATGCCAACCATGAAGATTTGACAGCTGGGTTTTCAGGTACACGTACCTTTGCTACAGAAGCAGACAAAGCTGACGCGATGGAGGAAGCTATCTGGGGTGCGTCAACAGCTGCCGGTGCCGCCCCTTACTCTTCGGTCCTGATCGAGATTGACAAAGAGGATCCTCACAACGATGTCAACGCCGAGCCATACTACACCTTCGCTGACAATAGAGCAACTACACCCATCCCCGTTGCTTCTAGCAAAAGCAAGAGACTTGGCCCTGGTTTCAATTTCGATTCTGAGACTGGTGACCGCCAACGCAAGAACCACTTGTGGCGTGTTTTCTCGTACAAAGCTTCGCTCTCCACACGTGTGCGTGCACGTCAGTATGCTTACCCGCTTCAACTCCCCTCATCTCTATCATTCACTATGTTGCTGCTTACTGTGCAATGGCATGGCATGACATGGGATGGCATGGCATGGCATGGCAGGGACTTGAGCGGCACCAAGCTGAGTGGCGAGCTGCCTATTTCCATCGACAGCGCCACCAAGCTCACATACCTGTAAGCCCGGAGGGGCTTCCCCTCACTTCATCACCATCCACGCCATGCAGCTGCTTGCACGCTGCTGGTCTGTGGTCGAAGGGGGGGAGGGAGGTGGGGAGGGGAGTACCAAGAGACCATGTTTTATACCTGAAAGCGGGCTGAAAGGCCGGCACGGTGGGGGGTGATGAGAAGGGAAGGGAGGGCCCATTCATCTCACGTGTCATTGGCACCATCCATCCCAAGACACGAGCACCACCCATGCACCATTGGCAACGCCACGAACCATAGGCGTACAAGCTGCAGCACCAGCACCAGCATCCATCGTTTGTCATCTCGTGATAGGATGTTGCAAAGTTTCTACCCTTCAAGTGGTCCCCAATTATCTCTCCGTCCTCCTCTCCTCCTCTCCTCATCTCCGTATTCCCCTTCCCCACATGCAGCAATCTGGGGTCTCTGAATTTCACCCGATTGCCCTCATGGATCAGCTCCCTCTCCAGCCTCGAATACTTGTACGTGCCACATGCATGCCATTCCCTCCCATTTCAACCACGCCTAGCCAGCAACGCACGTCGAGGTACCTGTGCTGTGCTGTGCTGTGCTGTGCTGTGCTGTGCTGTGCCGTGCTATGCTGCTCTCATGACCAGCTGCACCCATGCATGCTTCTGCAGTCTTGCTGCCTGTCTGCCCCCCCCCCCACACCGTTCCATGCCGTGCTGCCACCCCTCTCCACCGCATCCCACCCACCCTCACCCTTCCGTGCTGGCAGAGACGTGTCTGGCATCACGGGCCAGCGCATGCGCTCCGCACCCTTCCCCACGGAGTGGATGGCCCTCACAAACCTGCACAACCTGTCAGCCCTTCCTTCCTTCCTTCCTTCCTTCCTTGCTTGCTGCTGCTGCTGCTGCTGCTGCTGCTGCTGCTGCTGCTGCTGCTGCTGCTGCTGCTGATGATGATGCTGCTGATGCTGCTGCTGCTGCTGCTGCTGCTGCTGCTGCTGAACGTTGCTGCTGCTGCCCTCTCCTCTCATGCATGCCCACTCACAGCTGGGGCTTGTACAGTGGCAGCACGGCATAATGGCACTGCCAATGCAAGGACGCTTGAATAGATGCGTGCTTCCGACCATGTCCTTCCCATGTGCTTTCAATCTGATGTGCTTCCGATGTGCCTCTGATTGACCGTGTTCTCCGCTTCGTACTCCTCCTAGTTTTACCTGCAAGCCACGCCCATTCTAATATTCTCCTACCGTGAGTGAGTGCAGGTACGCGGATGACAACGGGTTCACGGGCTCCATTCCCAGCACCATCTCCGGCCTCTCCAGCCTCACGCATCTGTACGTGCAGCAACCAACCTCCTCAACTCCTCAACGCTGACTTCTCATGGAGGAGCTTTTCGCCTTGTTTTTTTCTTCGAAAGACGCTTTTTGAGTCGACGGAACAGTCACCCCAAGCACCCTCTCCTTCCTGAAGCATTTGTATGTGAATTCCTTGCGTCGTCTCCGTCCTTTCAATGGTTCAATCTCATGTCGCTCATTACTCCTCCTCCCACGTCCCCGTCCCTCTCGTCCCTCGCGTCCCTCGCGTCCCTCGCATCCCTCGCGTCCCTCCCGTCCCTCACATTCCTCTCCTGCCGCAGGTCATTGGGTTACAACTACCACATTTCGGGAAGCATACCCGACACACTTTCCACCCTCAAGTCCTTGTACTACCTGTCAGTCTCGCCGCTTTCACTCCTGAGTTGCCGCGTTCACCCACCCTGCACCCCTCTGAACCTGCTTCACTGCCGCATGCTCGTCTATTTGCAATGAGTTTAGAAATGGTTTTGCGCAGCACACTTACGTGTTGGTGCAACCCTACGGTTTGCACTCGGCTTGTTGTCCGTGTGCGTGAATGTGTGTGTGTATGGAATGGTATGAGGGCATGGGATAATATATATTTCATGCTTATAATTGTGTGTGAATGTTGAGTCATGATGTCGAGTGTGTGTGTCGAGTCAATAGCGAGTTATCGCTAGACGCGTGTTACGCGGTCGTTTGTGTCTCGCGCGCGGTTTCTATTTTGTCGTGCGCGGTTTCTATTTTGTCCTGTGTCGAACGTTCGGCGTGTCGCAGGTGTGTGCAGCAGACCCATCAAGAACTCAAGGATGAGTTTGTGATGAAGAGCCCGAGCCTTGGTGTCAAGCCTCAAGTGATTTCGAAGCTCGCCAAAAGGGTACACCTCAAGATATTGAAGATAGTTACATTACTTTGTGTAGTGTAACATTTCACTTGGTGTAGGCCCTAGTGAAGGGTAGTTTCGAGACCCTTCGTGGTTGGGGACAGTGTGGCACTGTTCCACATCACTGTACCTCGGCTCTTGGGGTTTGTAGGAGCTGGGAGTCATTCCCAACTCGTAACTCTTCCTATCTTGTGTTCTAAGACTATAGTGGCTGCCATAGTACCGTTCGTTCAAACCGTCGCTGTGTCGTCAATTCTTTATCAAATCGTGCAATCTAAATTGCTAATTGTAGACGACGTGAAGACGCTCCAGATCCAATTTGAATCAAGTCATTTTCAGCTGTGAGCAGAACGCTATCAACGTTTGAAGCCGCTTTGCAGAAATCCGTCTGTGCTCTCTATCTTTCGTTTTAGGCACATTCAAGCCTATTGTGACTATAACAAGTGGTATCAGAGGCCCTTGGAGCAGTTTCGACAATGTCTGGACCTGAGGAAAGGGGTGGCAGAGGTGCTGGTGGCAGTGGAGAAGCTCAAGCTCAAGGCCAACCCCGTGATTCAGCCATGGCGCCCATGCAACCAAGTCTTGGCCCACCTAGGGATGAGCCTAGGGTGTTTGGGCTTGACAAGTTCAACGGTGACAACTTTGCTGAATGGTCCTTCAAGATGGAGAACATCTTTGACCACTATGACCTGCTGGAGGTGATGGAAGGAACGGAGAAGCGCCCCGAGAACGACCCGGAGAAGAGCCCGTGGGTGCGGAAGAGCGCACAAGGCTATCTCTTACTTGGGCAAGCGTTGGGGAGCAGTCAGATCCGTCACATCAAGCCATTCCAGCGTGAACCAGAGAAAGGACCAAAGGCATGGGCTGCTCTCAAGGGTGTACATGCTCCTGCAACAGCGGCGGTAGCGGTGGTGTTGGAACGGCAAATGGCGGCACTACGAATTGAAGAAAACGAAGCGGTTGAAGAAGGGGTGCAGAAATTCTTCGACTTGTTGACGCGGCTTGAGGGAGCTGATTTGAACTACAGTGAGCTCCAAAAGAAGACCAAGTTGCTGGCCTTACTCCCAGAGTCATGGTCCTCGCTCATCATCAACCTTAATCGCGACTTGCCCCGCCTCTCGCTTGAAGACGTGAAGCGAGCTATCCTTCAAGAGGATTTCCGCCGCCGTGAGTTGGCGAGTGCGGATGGCGCTGGGGCAGCGAGCATCGGCCGTGGATATGGTCGAGGAAGAGGCAGAGGACGAGGGGGAGGAAGGTTTGGTGGCAGCAACTTTGGCGGAGGCCGCAGGAGTGGCGGTTACGGCAGCGACGACAAGAGCTACGGACGCGGTCGCGGCCGATTCGACGGCGAGTGTCACTATTGCCACAAGAGCGGACACATGTGGCGCGACTGCTACAAACTCCCTGATGGTTGGACCCCTGCTCAAGGCCAAGAGGGTAGAGGAGCAGGAGGAGGGAGAGGACGAGGCCGTGGAGGCCGTGGCGGTCGCGGTGGCGGAGCTGCAAACATGAAGAGCGGAGACAACGACAAGGACCCGAGCGACGATCGATACCCGGGTCTATTCTACTTCGTATCGACGCAAGTACCGGCTGGTCCAGAGAAGGATGAAGGCTTTGAGGAGCCAGCAGCTGTGGGGAAGGTGACCCTACACCCCCTGGACTATTGGGTGATTGATAGTGGCGCTACCTATAGCATGACACCTCGCCCGGACTTGCTCACCGAACTCGAGCCGTCACCGGTGAAGCATGTCACATCGGCTTTGGGGCAGCGAGCAGAGGTGAAAGGCATGGGCAAGGCCATATTCAAGGGTGCTGATGGGAAGATGGTGGGCCTCAAGAACGTGCTTTGGGTGCCCAGCCTTGCTGCAAACCTGATTTCCGTGCGGCGGTTGGCAAAGGCCGGCATGGACACGAACTCGAAGGGAGCCAAGACCTACACCGCAAGGCTTGGCGATCGAATTCTTTGGGACCTTCATGAGGACAGGGATGTCTACAACGAGATGTGGCAGATCCCAGTGGTCCCTATGCCTAAGGAGAGGCAAGTGGCAGCAAGCATCAGCACCAAGGATGGAGCGGTCGGTAGCGACGATGGCGCGAACGGTCGCGCTAAGGAGAATGAGCTCAAGAAGAGCAAACCTGGAGGGACCAGCAAGTTCAGTGAACCTAAGGAGAGTGGTGCAGCAACCAAGGAGCAGCAAAAGGGTGAGGAGAACCCAGAGGCAGCAGCGGAGGAGGACTACGGAGAGAGTATGTGGGGCGCTATTGCGAGCGCGGCATTCTCCAATCCAACTTCGGCTACGGGGGAGTGTGATTGGCTCACCTTGCATCGGCGCATGGGGCATGTGGCCCTGCCCATCTTGCAGCAGCTAGTGAAGAATGAGATGGTTGCTGGCATACGTGTGAAGGGGGAGCCCGATGAGGTGCTTGGCTGCCCGACGTGCATTCAAGCCAAGTTCACCCGGTTTCCGTTCCCTAGTTCGGAGGCAACGGCAAAGGCACCGCTTGATGAGGTGGTGATGGACGTGGTGGCCCCCCTGAAGCTTGGAGCTGCTGGAGCTGAGTATTTTCTCACCATTGTCGACGTCTACACCCGCATGACTTGGGTGTACGTGCTGGCCAAGAAGAGCGACGTGGCTGAAACGTTGAAGACGGATTGGTTCCCGATGGTGGAGCGGCAACAAGACCGTCTAGTCAAGTCAATCCGCACCGATCGAGGGGGAGAGTTCCTGAGCAAGGAGTTTGGGTTGTGGCTGAAGAAGAATGGCATTCGGCACTCCCTCACCATGCCATACTCCCCTGCAATGAACGGCATCGCCGAGCGAGCGAACCGCACAATCACGGAGGCGGCACGCGGGTTGCTCATTGAAGCCGGGCTACCCGACTATTTCTGGCCTGATGCGGTGCGGAGCGCGTGTGTGGCCAAGAACAGAGCCTTGACTCATGTGGGAGCAGACAAATGGGTGCCCTATGTGGAGTGGCTAGGAAGGAAGCCAAAGGTGGATATGCTTCGGGTGTTCGGGTGCATGTGCATGGCGCTCGTGCCTAAGCATCTTCGGCACAACAAGCTTGGTGCCAAGGCGGTGTGGGCCGTGCACTTGGGCATGGCTCAAAACAGCAAGGGATGGCTTCTTTGGGACCCATTCACCAAGAAGTTCTTGGTGAGCAGGGACTGCAAGTTCATGGAGAACTTCATGTACAAGGATTGGAAGGCGGAGAATGAGGCGAAGATAGGCGTGCAGTTTGGGGAGGTGAAGAGTTCCGGTTTGGAGCATGTGGAGCTGCCTTTGGAGCTGAGCAGCGGCAGCACAACCACAAGGCAATCCTCCCTTGTGAATGGGGGAGAGGAGGCCAATGATGCAGAGGAAGAAGAGGAGGAGGTGCAGCAAGTGAGCGAGCGTGCACCGTCACTCCCTTCCCGTACTACGAGTGCTCCACGGATTCGAGCCACACCGCAGCAACGCCAAGGCCTTCAAGTCCCTGCAGCTGAGGAGGAAGGAAGGGGGAAGAGGAGAGTTCAACCCCCTAATAGGCTGACCTATGATGCACCGGGAAAGCAGGGCAAGACAGCCCTGGCCGGAGCGGCAATGATGGTCGGAGACGACGAGGAGAGTGACTACGAGGAGTGTGCCTTCGCGTTCTTCTCTCCGGTGGAGATGCCGGGAGAACCAGCAACTCTCAAGGAGGCTTTGGAGAGTAGTGATGCTGAGGAGTGGAAGAAGGCCATGGAGAGTGAGCTGAAGAGCATCGAGGAGAATGACACGTTTGAATTGGTGGAGCTACCGGAGGGGCGTACGGCGATAACGTCCAAGTGGCTCTTCAAAATCAAGTCGGATGCCGACGGCAAGATCGAGCGCTACAA